TGTTAATATTTTAATCCTTTTATTTCTAAAAAAAAAAAAAAAAAAAATTTATATCACAAATCTTCATTTCTGATATAGTAGCATCTTAGGAGTCAAAGTTTTCCACAACTGAAAATAAATAGCATAATTTGAAAACTATTAATAACATCAGTAACCTACCGCTGATTCACAAAAGGGCTGGAAAGCTCGGCAAGCAGTCGGAAATTTGCCACGTACTCCAGCACTTGACATTTCTGGATGATAAACACAAGACATAACATCAGAGATAACATTCTTATGAAAATATCCAAAGGCTTCAAAAACATTCAGTAGATGTCACAATCAATATAAAAACAGACCAAGACGTATTCTACTTTTCACTACTGAACCGATTTTCTTCCTTATGATAATTTACAAGAAATGTCCTTAGAATCCTACAGTATTTTTAATAGATGGTATGCTATACACTGATGTTCACTTAGGTATTTACTATTCACTTAGGAGAATAGGTTTAAGCTCAAGCAGTTGTCTTACACTGAAGTAATCAACTCTGTAATATACAATTACTAGTACCGTTCTATGGTTATCACAGAATGATCACATGGTTGTTTCAGTTTGAAAAGTTGAGAAATTTTACAGCATTTAAATACCTAATAGGACACAGCAGGTGGCCTGCAGTCACGCTGCCATTACAGTCTGTGTCTCTAACCTCCATGTGCCTGACACAGCCGGGAGATACTGGCTCAGAGGGCCCATGAACCACTAACACCGGGGTGTGCGTCTGGGCCCTCTCTGTGCGTGCCCTGTGCCACGTGAGGTATTAGATCAGGTGGTCCATGAACTGCTGACACTGCAATTCACGTAAGGGCCTTGCGCACACCCTGACCTCCCAGAGGACACAGAAACAGGTGGTCCAGGATCACCGCTAGTGCAGCCTGTGTCTGGCTCCTGTGTGCGCCCTGAGCTCCCTGGAGACACCAAGTCAGGCAGTTCATGAACTGCTGACCCTGCGGTTCCTGTCTGGGTTCTGAACGCACCCTGCCTGCCTGCGGACACAGAACCAATTTGTCCATGATCATGCCACCAGTGTAGCCCACTTCTGAGTCATACGTTTGCCCTGAGCTGCCCTGGGGACATGTGGATCATGTGGTCTGTGATCCACCAAAATCCTGGTTTGCATCTGGGACCTCGGAGAACTACGTGTACTCCACGAACCACCAGAAGACTCCAGAGTGAGCAGCCCATCTTGGCAGACACTAAGGGGCAACTCTGACCACCACAAAATCTAGGGACACTAGCAACCTTCGCTGAGGTACCAGGGAAGAGGGAGACTGGGTACTGGTAAAAATGACAAGACGAAGTACTAAAATGGATTCCCAGAAGTCCAACCCACTCAGAACAAGTCCAAGAGACATCGACATAAGAGAATTTGGCAAACACACAGCTGAAATTGCTGCAATGATTGCAATGGAAGTAAAGAAACAATTCCATCAGGCCATAGAAGACATCAGATCAGAAATAATCTCTCAGGCAAAAAATGAAATGACAACAGTAATAAAAGAATTGCTCAGCACATCTAAAGAAGAAATATATACAAAAATAGATGAACAGAGGGAACTGATGGAAACATTAAATGAACAATATAGGAATGAACTAGAATGCATGAAACAGATTCGAAGAGATATCAGGAAATCAAAACTTCCATTGAAAGCTGGAAAAACCGCTTGAATGAAGCTGAAGATAGAATTTCAGATCGTGAAGACAGCATGGCAGCTAATGATCACGAAAGAAAAGATCTCACAAAATTAACAAGGAATCAGGAAAAATCAATTCAACAGCTACAAGACGAGGCAAAGAGAAATAATGCAAGACTAATAGGAATCAACAAAACAGCAAGAGGCAACACAAATGACATACAAAAAATATCTGCAGAAATAATAGCAGAAAATTTCCCAAGCATGGAAAGAGATTCTGATGTACAAGTAAGTGAGGCATATAGCACTCCAATTAGTCATAACCAAAATAAAACTACAACCAGACATATAATAATCAAGATCCCAGACATAGCAAAAGAACAGAATATTAAGAGCTGCTAGAGAAAAGAAACACATCACTAAAGGAAAGCTTATCAGAGTCACAGCAGATTTCTCAACACAAAGCATCCAATGGACAAGACCTTACAGTGAAGTATTACAGGAACCCAGATAAAAGCAGGTGTAGCTATTATGTCTGGAGACAATGTAAACTTAAAACCAAAAACAATCAAAAGAGATAAAGAAGATCACTACATATTTGTTAGGGGAAAACTGCAAGAGGAAGAGGTAACAATCATAAACATGTAGGCAACAAATAGCAGAGCACCAAACTACATAAGACAAATCTTAACAGACATGAAAAACCAAATAATTAATAACACTACTCTAATAGGGGACCTAAACACCCCTTTGACACAAAGAGATAGGTCAACTAGACAAAACATCAGCAAAGAAATAACAGATCTGAACCAAAGCTGTGAACAAATGGACTCAGCAGATGTATACAGTCTTCCATTCCACAACATCAGAATACACATTTTTCTCAGCTGCACATGGGACTTTCTCAAAAATAGACCACATTCTAGCCCATAGAGCATACCTAACTAAATGCAAAGAACTGAAATTATGCCATGCATATTATCTGACACAGTGCAATGAAATTGGAAATTAATGACAAAAGGAACTCCAAAAACTCCAGAAACACTTCAAATTAAATAACAACCACCTGAACAACCAATGGGTTACAGAAGAAATCAAAGAAGAAATTAAACATTCCTACAAACAAACAAAAATGTAAATACAACTTACTGGAATCTGTGGGATGCAATGAAAGCGGTCCTCAGAGGGAAATTTATAGGGGTGAACTCACACATAAGGAAAACAGAAAGAGAACAAATAATAAGCCTTATGCTACATCGCAAACTTTTAGAAAAAGAACAAGTCAAGCCCAAAGCCCAAGAAGGGAGGGCACTATAAAGATCAGGGCAGATATTAATGCAATTGAGATGAAGAAAACATACAAAAAACAAATGAATCAAAGAGTTGGTTCTCAGGGGCTGGGGATTTAGCTCAGCGGCAAAAGCGCCTGCCTGGCAAGCGCGAGGTCGTGAGTTCGGTTCCCGGTACCGGAGAAAAACCAAAAAAAAAAAAAAAAAACAAAGAGTTGGTTCTTTGAAAGAATAAATAAAATTGATAAATCCCTCGCCAACCTTATCAAAAACAGAAAGGAAAAAACTCAAATTCATTCAATAAGGAATGAAAAGGAGGAAATCACTACACATCCTACAGAAATTCAAAAGATCATTAATACTAACTTTGAAAATCTTTACTCCAATAGGATAGAAAACTCAGAAGAAATGGACACATTCCTAGATTTGTATGAATTACCAAAGTTGAATCAAGAACATATAAAAATCCTGAACAACCCAATATCAATTAATGAGATTGAAAACATGATTAAAAACTTACCAACAAAGAAAAGCCCAGGCCCTGATGGATTCACAGCAGAGTTTCCCAAGAAACTCGGAGAAGATTTAATGCCAACACTCCTCAAACTCTTCGATGAAATTGAAAAGGAAGCAATTCTCCCTAATTCATTTCTGGAGGCAAGTATTATACTGATAGCAAAACCAGAGAAAGACCCAATCAAGAAACAGAACTACAGGCCAATCTCCCTAATGAACACAGATGCAAAGATATTCAATAAAATACTAGCAAATAGAATGCAGCAAATCATCAAGAGAATCACACACCATGACCAAGTTGGATTCATTCCAGGAATGCAAGATGGTTCAATATTCGCAAATCAATTAATGTTATACACCATATCAATAGAGCTAAAGACAAAAGCACATGATCATCTCAATAGATGCAGAAAAAGCTTTCGACAAAGTCCAACATGCACCCATGATAAAAACCCTACAGAAAATAGGAGTAGATGGTCTTTACCTCAGTTTCATCAAAGCTATCTATGACAAGCCAACAGCCAACATCATACTAAATGGACAAAGACTAAAAGCTTTCACTTTAAAATCAGGAACAAGACAAGGATGTCCACTGTCACCACTCCTATTCAACATTGTTCTGGAAGCGTTAGCCAGAGCAGTTAGACACAAGAGAGAAATAAAAGGAATAAGGATAGGAAAGGAAGAAGTAAAACTATCACTATTTGCAGATGACATGATACTTTACATGGAAGACCCCAAAAATGCCACAAAAAGACTCCTTGAATTAATGAACAAATTTAGTAGTGTAGCTAGATACAAAGTCAACACTCAGAAATTGATAGCATTCATATAAACAAACAACAAACAGACGGAGAGAGAAATTAAGGAAACCATATCTTTCACAATACCATCCAAGAAATTGAAATATTTAGAAATCAATCTAACAAAAGAAGTAAAAGATCTATTCAATAAAAACAACAGTACTCTGAAAAAAGAGATTGAAGAGGATTTCAGTAAATGGAAAAATATTCCTTGCTCATGGATAGGAAGAACCAACATTGTGAAAATGGCCAGGGATAAATGTGCTGTTGACTTTCGAGGTGATGCAGTTATTTAGTTAACAGGTGAGCAGGTGAGGTTCAATTCAGCCAACCACCTTGCTAGGCTTTCACAGTGAATGAGGCACAAGGGAATATACATATATAATTTGGTTGATTTTATGACAGTAGCTTTGTAGTATAATTTCAGGTCAGGGATTGTGATTCCACCTGATTTGTCTTTGTTGCCCCAGATTGCTTTTGCTATTCTGGGTCTCTTCTGGTTCCAGATGAATTTAAGGAATGTTTTCTCTAGATCTGTGAGGTATGCCAGTGGTATTTTAATGAGAATCTGTACAATAATTTTGGTAGTATAGCCATTTTCACATTTATCCCTGAGGAAAGGAAGGCAAATAGAGGTGTCAGAGTTAAATCCTCTTCCATCAGGGCAAGCAGATGTTATTTAACATCGCTATCTGACACCGACAAATCAAGAGGTGGATAGTCTCAAGGTGGCCACTGTCAATTCCTTCTCTCCCTTGTATGTGCATAACGTTCTTCACATCAAGGAGTAAAATCAAATTTCTCTCCCGTTCAATCTGGACTACCCTTTGGCACTTCCTTGCCCAATAGAGTGCAGGGGAATTTAGGTTCTAACTCTTTTGGAGCTTTCTGCCAGATCTCTTGGAATAACCACATTTGAAATGTTGCCTTTCAGAACACATTTGCCAGATTG